AAATCTTTAAAAAAAAAAGATGGGAAGATCTATATCACAAGAGGAAAGAGGCTCACTAAGCTAGATACTAAAGACAAGAAAAGTACAGAAGCAAACTCCTGGCAAATGGAGAAAAAAGTGAAATGGAAAGGCATTAAGTTTCAGAGAAAGGCATCGACATACCTACTCTGAGATGTGATGGAAAGAAACAAGAATGGATGCACGCACAGATGCACTGAAAGGAGGAAAAAAGTGAGGCTGCTCTTGCAAAATGGCTCTGCCTTCTCAACTGGTTTAAAGGGATCATGCACCTAGTACTTGCAGCTCTTCTGAGTAAGGCTAACACTTTGCTGGTTAACAGCCATGTTTAAAAGGTTAACTGAAGAGTTATTACATACACAAATAACCTACAAGGTAATCGGAAATACGTCATCAACTTTTCAAATATGGTATTCGGGGGGTGGGGAGTGGGAATAGACGCTCAGGATCAACCCTAGCTTAGAGGTCACCTTTAAGCCATTCAGAGAAGACCAAGCTCTAAAATCCATTCTCTCTTCCCCTCCTTTGGCATTCCATTTCCAAAACAGAGAGAAAGTCTGACAGCTGGCAGAGACAGGGGTCTGATGAACACAAAGACTCCACCTTTATTTTATTTGCCCGGCTAGGAGATGAGTGGGTGAGAAAGATGTGAATAAACTGATCGCTTGAAATGTAGCTCCCTCGTGTTCTCCTTACAACCCTTTTCCATTGATTTATTCCTTCTCAGCTCCAGCCTCATGCACTAATTCTCAATGTTCCATGTGATTTGAAAGCCTTCACTGCCTATTCCATGGGATTCTGCTCCACCAAGAAAAGCCCCTGACTCTTTTTTCACTGTCAAAATCTACTTCACATACATCATGTTCTTAACAACCAAACACAGAACTCCCAATAAAATTGCTTAGCATCACTTAAGCATCTACACCATATATGTCTGACTTTCTTTGTTGGTAACAAGGACAGTCTCTTCCTTAGGCAGCAAGACAATCTTACATTGTATCCAAAGTCAGTAACAAAAATGACAGGTCAGTTGTAAAGAAGGTCATATGCGTACACGTGTGTGTGTGTGTGTGTGTGTGTGTATGCACATATTCATCATTAGGAGTGAACAAAAAATTATATAACTTTTATATATAAAATATCAATTTTGCATTTCTCTTATGAATATTTCATTTCTATAGATTGACATAAAATCATGATTCATTAAAAAATACAAGTGGTTGAATTTTAAGTTAAGAGATTTATAGGGCTTGTTTAACCCCAGGAATCTAATTTGCATCAAATCTACATTTTGCTTTTGTGTTCTGTTGTGGCCATCTATTGCTACTTGTAATTTTTTAATTTTTCATTTTCTAGTAAATGCTTTACACTTCAAAATAAATTGCTAGGGGCGCCTGGGTGGCTCAGATGGTTAAGCGTCTGCCTTCGGCTCAGGTCATGATCCCAGGGTTCTGGGATCAAGCCCCACATCGGGCTCCTGACTCAGCGGGGAGTCTGCTTCTTCCTCTCCCTCTGACTCTCCCACTGCTCATGCTCTCTCTCTCTCTATCTCTGTGTCTCAAATGAATAAATAAAATCTTTAAAAATAAATAAATTGCTAATTCAGAGACTGCTATGAAAAACAGAAATTCTTTTGGCTTAAATAAAAAGAGGAACAGATATTTGGCACCAGTATAGAGCATAAATTATACTCTGGTATATTTATCCAAAAGGGTTAAGACCAAGGAAAGAATCTGCTTATTAAAAATGCACACATTACCTCAGCCATCCGAATAGCCCCTAAACTCGCCCAGCTACCGCCTCTGCAGATCACCCACCAGCATTAGCACTACATCACATGACATTATGGAACAATAGCGAACTCTGTGTAATACTTGAATATATTGTTTTGAAAGAATAAACTGTCATTAACTTGCATAAAAAGCTTTCTGAAATCAAACCTGGGGGGTACAGCCCGCCTTGTGTGGCCCTTTTACTACTTTGAGAAATCGCCTCATCCTGAAAGCAGTAAAGGGTGAAAAAAGAGATTAGAGTATAAAGGCAACAGTGATGAGTGGCCCCTCCAGCAGCCCAGCAGGCAGACGGCAGGCCTCTAAATTACCAGGAAGAACAATGTCAAAGCAGGAGGCACCTAAAAATCCAAACAACCCCCCCACCCACCACCCTATTTCCTTTTACAGCCTAGTGATCTCTATAATTGGCTTTGCTAGAATTGGAAACAGTCTTATTCCATGTACAAAACAGTGAAAAACTCGATGTCCTGATGCCATCTTTAGATGGGCTATCCCTTCTAGCCATGTGACTTGAGGTAATGCATTCACGCTCTCTGAGCCCCAATGTTTTAATCTATAAAATGGGAAGAATAATAACATCACGCAGAGGTAGAGGAAGGAGGGGAGGGGTTAGCTCCTACTATTATCATAATTATACTTATTATTTCCACCCAACGGTCCCCTTTGCCTGTCTTCTCTAATCACTAAGAGGTTTCTTCCTCACCAGTGAAATACCAGCATTCACTTAAAGGCTTGCTGGCTTTTTTTGTTCCCTGCAGTCTGGCCCCTGCCACGTGCTGCCACTTCTCTTTTCATGCCACCCTCAGCAAGTAATTTCTCCACCTTCCTTAGCCAAATCCCAAATCGCCTCTTCGTTGCAACCTGCCCCTCAGCAGCCTTCCAATCTCTCACACACCTATTCTCAATATTCTCAACAAACAAGGTTCAAAGAGGGGGAAAACAAAGCCAGGGCAACACAGCCAATGGGTAGCCAAGTCTCAATTTAAATCCAGGTATCAGTACAACCAAGTCCACCTGCATTGCATTAACTGCAGTGCGTTAATTATTCACTGTCAGGGTTCCTGGTGATGATTTTAAATCTGAGGTTAGTTTCCCTGAACACCAAACCGATGCTTCCCCTACTAGTCAATTCATTATCATAAAATAAGAATTATATTTCCAATGCTTAGAAAAGAAACACTACCCCATGAAATTATTAAATATATCTCAAAATGCTGGGAGTTTTTTGGGTTTTGTTTTTGCTTGTTTTTAGTATTTCCCTAAAGTGAGGACAAATATTGGTCACAGAAAGGCCTCACCCAGGACTAGAAGACTTTGGGAGGACACAGTTAACAGGCAGCAGAGGCATGAACCTGTGTGCCTGTGGGCAGTCCTACGTGCATGTCCGGAAGGGCTGGAGTACAGAACACAAGTGTCCCCCTCTAAGTTTCTACAGATAAATTACGTCTGATTGTCTTTTAATCTGATTGTACAAAGACACGTGGAGATGGAAATTTCATTAATGTTGGCTTCTCTGAAGAATCACATTATCCCTCAAAATAATGAAAACAAGGGGAACAGGATGTAATGTGTTATTTCAGGTAAGAACCAAAGAGCTTCCCAAAGTCTAACACTGAGGCCTGTGGGAAAAGACTGAAAGCTTGGATTTCCTCACTGTAAAGCAGATGAAGTGCTGGGAAGAATGAGATGATATATAGCTAATCAATAAAGCATTATTTGTTTATTTTTGTTTTTTTAGGTACAGTGCAGAATAGCATAACTAGTATTTGACATCAGTGATGAAGGTTCAAGTTCGACCTATCTGCCAGCTGTCTGATCTGACACAAATCATTCAAACATATTTAACCATATACAGATTAAGGGGATGGCATGTGTTTGTGTGTGTGTGTGTGTGTGTGGAGGGGGTACCTTCCAATACATATAGCTATATATATATATATTTTTTTTTTACATATAGCTATATAAATGTAAGAAGTTTTATATTATATTGTACCAGGTTAAGTAAACCAGGGCCTTATGTTCATTTATATTTCCTATTCTTTTGGAGGAAAAGAGAGACAGAAAGAGGGATTCTTTTTTTTTTTTTAAGATTTTATTTATTTGAGAGACAGCGAGAGAGGGAACACAAGCAGGGGGAGTGGGAGAGGGAGAAGCAGGATTCCCGCTGAGCCCAATGCGGAGCTCGATCCCAGGACCCTGGGATCATGACCTGAACCGAAGGCAGACATTTAACGACTGAGCCACCCAGGTGTCCCAGAAAGAGGGAGTCTTATAGTAGAAACCCCGTTCAGTTAATAGAAAATCATTGCCACTACTTAATGGATATGAAAATAACAGAAATTAACATAAAATTAAAATATATAATGAAATTATCAGGTGAATAATAAAATTCATATTAAAAGGTAATTGGGTGGCAAAGCTGGTTGAGCATCTGACTCTTGATTTTGGCTCAGGTGATGGATCTCAGGATCAAGCCCCGTATCCAGCTCCCCACTCCTTGGGGAATCTGCTTGTCTCCCTCTCTCTCTGCACTCCCCTCCCCCGCTCATGCATGTTCACTCACACTCTCTCAAATAAATAAATAAATCTTTAAAAAATACAAATAAAAAAGGTAACTCCACCTCGGTATACACTAATCAATATATGCTAATCCTCTCATATATACCCTCTCCTATCATACAAAATGGTTGTCAGGATTAATTATAAGTGTATCAATGATTATAGAGATTTTCTCTATGGATCTGAACTAGTCAACCCATAGTCCTGACCACAAATAAGAGTGAAAATCTTTTCGAAGAAATATAACAGGTAAAGGCCAGCTCCAACACCATTCATTCATTCATTTACTCAGTCCCTACTTGATATCAGGCTCTATTCCAAATGCTACAATTCAACAGTAAACAAAACACAGAAAGCTCCTACCATCATAGAGCTAGCATTCTAACAGGGAAACACAGAGAGTAAATAAGTAAACTACGTAGCAGATAAATGGTGATTAGCTACCACAGAGAAAAACAGCCAAAAGGGTTTCAATTCTAAATAAGGCAGCCAAGGAAGCTTCACCAAAAAGATGCCATTTAAGCAAAAACCTAAAGGAGATGAAGAAGGCACATGGCTATCTGGGAAGAGTAGTGTAGCTATGCAAACCTTTCCAGCAGGTCCAGATAAGACAAAAACCCAAGTTCTTACCTTTCAAAAGCGGCTGGAAGGTTGGAATCTCTTGCAACTTGATGACATCGGGATCGTTGCTGACGTTCCGTGAGGGCTGGGAGCCTGGAGCTACAACCACAATATCATCCATCTTGGCTCTATGCTTTGCTGGAGAAGGGGTCACTGAAAATAAAGTTACACTTCTCAAGAGCTGCATGTTAGCCAGCCCCCTCTGCCTTACCAAAGCTGTTTTCGGTACAGTCATTAAAAAAATTATTTTTACACAAAAAAAAATGTTAACTGTAGTTATCCTGCAGCGAGGGCTGGAAAAGGGGAGATGAATCATGGGGGACCTCTATTTTCTACTTAAAAAAACCCCTCAAACATTACAGGAACTTATAACATGTATGAAATTGCTTTTTTTTTTTTTTAAAGCTAGTCTTTTTTTTTTTTTTTTTTAAGATTTTATTTATTTATTTGAGACAGAGAGAATGAGAGACAGAGAGCATGAGAGGGAGGAGGGTCAGAGGGAGAAGCAGACTCCCCGCCAAGCAGGGAGCCCGATGCAGGACTCGATCCCGGGACTCCAGGATCATGACCTGAGCCGAAGGCAGCCGCTCAACCAACTGAGCCACCCAGGCGCCCTGAAATTGCTTTTGTAATTAAAAATATCTTATTATTCAGCACACAAAAATATAGGTAGGTTATGTTTTTAATTTTTATTTCTTTGATCCTCCTGACATTGTCCCTATTTTACCAATGAGAAAATGAGGGTACAAAATATGGCTCTGACCAACCCAAACTCAGTAGTGCTAGAAAAACAGGAAAGGAATTGGAGGTCTTTGGGATATCGGTATATGTGGCCCATCCCTGTGAAACTGAGGTTGCAAGCTGTCTAGCCACTTTATCACAGCAAGTCAGGTGTATTTAATACATCTTACTCATGGGGGGAAAAAAATCATGGTTCTTAACCCTCTATGATGGATCTATTCCTGAGGCACCAGCCCCCTCACTCTTACAGTTACAAGCACTAGTCCAAGAAGGGCAGAAATAAATAGTAGGTCCATTCTAGGCTGAGGCCAAATTCAGAAATTTGTAGGACTGCTAGACAGGCAGGTCAATTTCAGGTCCCTTGAGAGGAAGTAAAGCATTTGTAGGGAACTGATTCAAACTACCAACAACTTCTTAGACCTCTCCTCAAAAATCTTCCTGGTTAGGGCAGGAATAAACCTTTAAAGTGGTTTACCCTCTAGAAGGTAGTATTTGCAAGCTCATCATAGTCATGTCTCAAAGGCTGATGCTGGGATGTCACAGAACTGCCCTGCCTCCTGGAGGCTACAGTCTCCTGTGGCTTGGCATTTACTCTTTTAGAAGCTCTGCTACTTTTACTGCTCTTCAAGAAGTACCTCTTAACCTCTTTTGGTAATTTCCCTAACATTTCACAAATCCCAAGCCAGAAATCTTTTCTGCTACAAATTAAGTGATTTCTTCTTCCCCAGACCCCAGCAGAAAACAGATTTCACTGGGTTCTAGATAACTTCTATCACCTTGCCTGTAAAATGGGACTGTAAGGATTAAATGTAGATGCACGTAAACCGCTTAGCACAGGGGAATTGGCAGTCTAACCTATGCTATTAGTATGCTATAGTACAAGAGTTCATGCTGTTGGTCAGTAGGTGAGCAAGCATATTAAAAAGATGCCATACTTCGGGGCGCCTGGGTGGCTCAGTCGTTAAGCGTCTGCCTTCGGCTCAGGTCATGATCCCGGAGTCCTGGGATCGAGCCCCGCATCGGGCTCCCTGCTCATCGGGAAGCCTGCTTCTCCCTCTCCCACTCCCCCTGCTTGTGTTCCCTCTCTCGCTGTGTCTCTCTCTGTCAAATAAATAAATAAATAAATCTTAAAAAAAAAAAATGCCACACTTCTTCCCCTCAAATATGCTTCTGGACTGACATAGAGGCAAGAAAATAAAGGGTAACAACTCTTACTGTACTTTCTGTAACAGATAAAATATTCTGGGCCTTCCAAGGAAATAGAAGGATGTATAGCAAAGCTAGTAGATGCTGTTCACCATTAAAAGCTGTCCCAATAGAGCCCCCCAAATGAGGGTCTGAACTAGTCTTGAAGGACACATTTCATTGTGGAATAACCCTAAATCTGTCAGCTTCTACATTTCTGAATTACAGATCCTACCAGGCAGAGAACAGTTCTATGTATTTACAGACAGTTGTGGATTCTAAGACTATCTAGGACCTCTCTTTTCCCATCTGTAAAACAGGGTTTAAAATTTCATAACATATACAAATAGCGAATCACTAGATCGTACACCTGTAAGTCATAGGTTATATTTAGGCTCCAGATTTAATCCAGTTTGGATTAGCAACTGGAGCGTATCCAGAGCAGTCCCAGTTGTCCTAGGGTTTGTGGCTAACCAAAAAGATTAAAAAGGAGCATATGATCCTCAATTAAGCATCAGTTGTTTTATTTACTGAGTGCTTACTATATTCCTAACACAATAATCCTCCCATTCCTATCTGAAACGCTGGGAGAAATCTTAAAAAATCGCACGGGGGAAGAATAGAGAAAAACACCAGAGCCTACGGTGCTGGCCGACTCCTATAATACTAGAAAAGCAGTCGAGACACCTTCTCAAGGGAAAATGCAGTTTCCGGAGAGGTTTGCACCCAAGGGTTCAAAGCGATCGTACACCTGTCACACATCCCTTCTGAAAAGGAACCTCCAAGACCCACTTTAAGAAGGAACATGTTCTTAGAGGTCCTGTCTATGATCCATCCACTGTGTGAGCCAAAGCTCACTGTGTCAGTCCTAAGTACTAACACCAAATATTAATTAGGTTGTCCCGTAAAGAGGAGGCGGAGCTGGGAGAAACAGCTGCTTTGAACATAAGTAATAGGCATGGGCGCACACGCTGGTTTAGCGTGCAGTCACAGGCACTCACTCCCATCAAGGGAATGACGGCTAGGGCAGACGGTACTTTTTCCTCTTTTTTCAAGAAAAAAACATGGTGGGGGCTCTCTGTGCGTTCGTGTCCGCGGCCCCAGTCCCCACTAGGCTGGAAGGCAGCCCCCTCCGCAAGCAGACAGCGCCGGCTGGAGGAGGAAGTTAGGACACCGACCTGAGGAGTTCAGATCGTTGGGTCGGCTCTCGACCTCGGAGCTCTGCTCGCTGCCCATGGTGCCGGCAGCGGTGGCAGCGGAGGAACGGCGGGCCAGGCGGTCACCGCTCCGGCGGCGGGACGACCGGGCAGGGGCCGGGGACAGGGGCAGGGATGCTACACCGAGTGTGGGCGCCGCTGCAGGGCCGACCCGCGGAGACCGCGCGCCGGGCCCACGCAGGTGCGCGGGCGACGGGGGATGGGAGGCCCTACTTGGGGAACAGACGCGCAAGGAAGCGCAGCCCGGCTGCACGAAGCTCGCCCGCTTTCTTCCTGGGACCCTAAAGAGAGGAGGTGAAGAACGCCCGGCATCAGCCGCGCCAGCGGCCGGCGGGCGGCGCCCCTTTCACTCACTCGCTCCTGCGCCGCAGGCTCGCTCCTTCCGGGACGCGGATTGGCGGCGCCGACTGCGCGCGGCCGTCAGTTCCGGGTTGGAGAGCCCACCACGCCCCCGCCCGAGAGAGGGCGCGTAGGGTGACTAGGGCGTCGCAGCCTTAAAGGGCCCGACCGCCTCAAAGCCAGAACCGCCCGAAAGAGTAAGGCCTCCCCTAGTGTAATGATGTGTCGCCTCTAAGCATCACCCATATTTTGGCACTTTACTGTTAGAACTTTATAAGGGGGGAGGGATTGTTTGTTTTGTTGAGATATGATTGACATACAACATTTTATTAGCTTCAGGTGTACAGCCTAGTGATTCAGTATTTGTATATATTGCAAACTTTTTTTTTTAATATTTTATTTATTTATTTGAGAGAGAATGAGACAGAGCATGAGAGGGGGGAGGATCAGAGGGAGAAGCAGACTCCCCGCCGAGCAGGGAGCCCGATGCGGGACTCGATCCCGAGACTCCAGGATCATGACCTGAGCCGAAGGCAGTCGCCCAACCAACTGAGCCACCCAGGCGCCCCTATTGCAAACTTTTAAACCCTGTTTACAGATGGAGAAAGAGAGGTCCTAGATAGATTTCGGATTAGAATCCACAACTGTCTGCATGCAAAGCTTCTGTTTCAGTTCCAGAAGCTAGGAGTTTGGCAGTGGACAGCCATACAAAAAATATAGATGGTGAAGGAAGGACCTGGAAGTAGAGAAAAATGAAGAAATAGAAAATGCTGATTCACATGTTACGGTGTGTGTGCATCCTCAGGGGAAAGTGGGTGCCCCAAAGCACTTTCTGGGGACCTTGACAGTTATTCACAAGCCATTCCGAAACCAGCAAAGGTGAGGATAGAGTACAAGCAATACAAAATGGAAACCTCCAGTTTGGGCAGATCAAGGACAGGGACCTAGCAAAGCAGTGCCACCAAAGACTTGGGTGGCTTTGGGATTCTCAGAACTTTGCAACTCATTTTATCTGATTTCCCTCATGAAATTTCAAGCAATGTCCTAAGATTTTATATTTATAAATATAATCTCAGAAGGAATGCCAAATGGACTGTATGATTAAGTCCCCTCCACTCTATAGACTCATAGACATTTTGCTTATGTTACCTTATTTACTTTTCAAAGCAACCCTGAGGCCCACAAACAGGTAACTTCTTCATGGTCACCAGGTAGTAAATGGTGGAAACAGGATTTAGGACTGTCTGATTTCAAACTCATGCTCTTTCCTCTCCTCACCATTACAATACTATGAGAAAAGTGCAAAAAATGTAAATTCAGTATTTGGTGGGAATATAAAGAAAGAACTAAAAACTGCCTGAGAGATCAAGTAGGCTCCTAAGAGGTGGTGTTTGACTAGTCTTGAGGCTTACATAAACCACCAGGGTGATGGGACCATTCCTTCCTGGAGAGCCCCTGGCTCCTCTCCCAGGTCTCCCATCTTTGGGGGTGGGCAAGAAAGGAGGGAAAAGGGGAATACAACACATGTTCTGGCTCTTGTTCTCCCTTTTCCACATCAAAGTATATTTATCTTGTGTTCCATGCCCTAATCCACACTGATGTGATGGTGTTTTTTATGCTTCCCATTGGTTGAACATTTCATTCTAAACTGAACATTGTAAACATTCTCAAATGAAGAATGAACAAATATATCATCCTATTCTCTCCTGGCCTGCAAGGTCTCTGCTGCAAAATCTTCTCATCACCTTATAGGGGTTCCCTTATATGAGAGAAAATATGTTTCCCTTACTGTTTTAAAAATTATCTTTGTCAAATCTTCTCATCACCTTATAGGGGTTCCCTTATATGCTCTTCCTTTCCTGGCAAGGAGAACTCTTTCTAGCTGGGAGGTTTCCTCATGGTGCTGAGCAATGCTGGTTTGGAGGATGGGATGATACAGTCAAAATGAAACTAAAAAAAACTCTCAGGTTTTTTTGTTGTACTGCATTGCTGATGTTTCTTAAGTGGGCTCCAGAACTCTCCCAGAGCTGTTTTTGTTTGTGGATAACTGTCTAATTGTTGATCTTTTTGTGGGGACAAAGGCTGAGATCTCCTATATCACCATTTTTTTTCCCACTGAGTAGATAAATAAAATGTGGTATATCCATATAATAGAATATTATTTGCCTATCACCAAGGACTGAAGTACTAAAACATGCTACAACAGGGATAAGCCCTAAAAACATTATTCTACTGGAAAAGATCCCATCACAAAAGATCACATATTATAGTTTCCATTTATATGAAATATCCAGAAGAGGCACTATAGGATACAAAAATAGATTAGTGGTTGCCTAAAGCTGAGGAGGAGGGGTGTGAAGGGGGAAAGAGGGAGTAACTAACTGTTAATGGGTATAGGGGTTTCTTTCTGGGAGTGATGAAAATGTTCAAAATTTATTGTTGTGGTGGTTGTACAACTTTGTGAATATATTAAGAACCACTGAATTGTACCATTTATTTTTTTTAAGATTTTATTTATCTGAGAGAGAGAGTGTGAGCACAAGCAGGGGGGAGGGGCAGAAGAAGAGGGAGAAGCAGACTCCCCACTGAGCAGGAATGGGGCTCCATTCCAGGACCCTGAGATCATGGCCTGAGCCCAAGGCAGACACTTAACTGACTGAGCCACCCAGGAGCCCCTAAATTGTACAATTTAATTAGGTGAATTTTATGGTATGTGAATAATATCTCAATAAAGCTGTTATCAGAGAAAGGATATAGAAATACAAAAGGTCTTCATTCCTTGAGTCAACATTTATTGGTAACCTATAATGTGCCAGGCATTTCCTAGAGGCTAGGAATAAATGATCCAACAAGATCCCATCCCTATCCTTAGGAAGCTTACAGTCTGGTAGTGAGAAAATTAATTAGGCATTTATAATTAAGGATTCTGCCGGAGGGGCTTTAGAGGTAGAAGACATTTGGAACCAATTCCTTTTCGCACCTTTAAAATCATTTCCACATGAACAGCAACCTATGTGACTTATATACACAATTGAACAGTCTTTTTGGGTTTATAAAGCACTTTCATAATGATGAGGGAAACAAAAGCAAGAGAAATGTGGCTTAAATTAAATCTCCTTACAGCTTGCAGCCCACTGATAGATACCTGACACATGAGAGGAACCCATGGTTGCCTTAATGCCTTAATGTTTATGTTTTATTAAAGACTATAAGTAACCTTAACAGCAGCTGGCCCCTCAGATCCTGAAGGCCTTCCTTCCAAATTCCTTAGAGACTTACGCTCTCCCTAACCCCCGCTAATTAAAAAATATATATAATCAGTCACTCCTCACAATCCCAGTGCAGCTCTTTCTGCCTACAGGTCCTGTCCCTGTGCTATAATAAAATCACCTTTTTGCACCCAAAAGGTCTCAAGAATTCTTTCTTGGCTGTTCGCTCACAAACCCCAAAACTTCCAAATTTCATCAATAATATTGGCCCTATATGACCTGCCTATAAAGTAGATTACACTTTTTTTTTTTAAGATTTTATTTATTTATTTGACAGAGATAGACAGCGAGAGAGGGAACACAAGCAGGGGGAGTGGGAGAGGGAGATGCAGGCTTCCCACTGACCAGGGAACCCGATGCAGGGCTGGATCCCAGGACCCTGAGATCATGACCTGAGGCGAAGGCAGACGCTTAACGACTGAGCCACCCAGGCACCCCTAGATTACACTTTCTTGATTTTACATGGAGGTTAAGGAATTTATTCTTGATCACAAAGCTAATAAGTAATAAAAGCAGGATTCAAATTTTCTGAAACTCATTATGCATCTATCCATTTCAGACCAGCTCCTCCTCCCATATTTCTATATTGCCTGGCACTCCAGCTAGCCGGTCTCCTACACCACAAACCTGCTTACCCCTGCCACCACATCCAACCAGTCACAAATCTGGAGAGCTCTCTCCTTAATTTCTCTTCTAACCTCCACACCCTGTTCAGGGCCTCCTCACTTCTTCCATTTCTTGGAAAGCAGAAGGCCTCTGGCTTCACCTCCTTCAATCCATCCTATATATGGCTGGCAGACAGAATTTTTAGAATATTAATAAAGTATCTGGACCTGCCACTGCCCTATAAAAACCTTCAATAATTCCCCATGGCTTCAGGATAAAGTTTAAAATTTGGCATATGAGAACCTTCTTGCTCTGACCCCCACCTTTCTCTCTATTCCTCTATGTACACGAGGGAAACTTCATGCCAGTCAGGATAAAATTCCCTGAATACTCACACCATTTTCTCTGTCTGGAATATTCAGCCTTTTTCTCTCCCTCTAACTAACCGAACTTCATCCTTCAAGATTAACTTACGGTTGAAAACTTAAGTCCACACAAAACTTACACATGGATGCTTATAGCAGCTTTCTTCACGATTGCCCAAACTTGGAAGCAACCAAGAGGTCTTTCAGTATGTGAATGCATAAACTAGTACATCCAGACAATGGAATATTATTCAATGCTAAAAAGAAACGAGCTATTAAGCCATGAAAAGACATAGAGAAAACAGATGCATCTTACTAAGTGAAAGAAGCCAATCTGAAAAGGCTACGTACTGTATGATTCCAACTATATGACAACTGGAAAAGGCAAAACTATGGCAATAAAAAGAACAGTGATTGCCAGGGGTTGTGGTGGGGGAGGGATGAACAGGCTGAGCACAGAGGATAGTTAGGGCAATGAAAATACTTTGGGGGCACCTGGTTAGGCATCTGCCTTTGGCTCATGTCATGATCTCCAGGTCCTGGGATCAAGCCCCATATTGAGCCCTGCATCAGGCTCTGGGCTCAGTGGGGACTCTGCTTCTCCCTCTGCCTCTTCCGGCTGCTCGTGCTTGCTCTCTCTCTCTCTCTCTTTATTTCTCTCTGTCTCTATCTCAAATGAATAAAATCTTTTTTTTTTTTAAGATTTTATTTATTTATTTGACAGAAAGAGAGAGGGCACAAGCAGGGGGAGCAACAGAGGGAGAGGGAGAAGCAGGCTCCCGGATGAGCAGAGAGCCCAATGTGGGGCTCGATCCCGGGACTCCGGGATCATGACCCGAGCCGAAGGCAGTCGCTTAACCAACTGAGCCACCCAGGCGCCCTGAATAAATAAAATCTTTTAAAAAAAGAAAATACGGGCGCCTGGGTGGCTCAGTTGGTTAAGCGACTGCCTTCGGCTCGGGTCATGATCCCGGAGTCCCGGGATCGAGCCCCACATTGGGCTCTCTGCTCATCCGGGAGCCTGCTTCTCCCTCTGACCCTCCCCCCTCTCATGTACTCACTCTCTCTCATTCTTTCTCTCAAATAAATAAATAAAATCTTAAAAAAAAAAAAAAAGAAAATACTTTGTGTGATCCTATAGTGGTGGATATATATTATTACACATTTGTCCAAATCCATAGAGTGTAATACACTAAGAGGGAACATAAGGTACACTATGGACTCTGTGTAATTATAATGTGTCAGTGTAGGGTCATTAGTTGCAAGAAATATACCTGTCTGGTGGAGGATGTTAACCGGGAAGGCTGTGCGTGTGTGGGGGCAAGAGGTATATGGGAACCTTCTTGTCAATTTTATTGTGAAGCTAAAACGGCTCTAAAAAAAATAAATAAAATCTTTTAAAAATATATTAAATTTTTCATTTTCTCCCAGAAGTCCAGATTGCACGTTCCTCTTTTGAGATTCCTTAGCATCTTCTATCATTACATTAATTCTTTACACAATAATTGATTTGATTGTCTGTCTTCCCCACTATGAGCATCTTGAAGGTAGCTCCAATGTCTTATGGGTCATTCATTCCCCCTGCACGTGTTTAATACATGTTTTGTGAATAAAATGCTTTTTTAAAAAATCTGCCTCCACATAAATAGTATCAGGAGAAGAGGATCAAGAATCTTTTCAGGCAATGAGATGAAAAGAGATTTCTAACTTAAACACAGTTCATGTCAGTAGAAAATTTTTTTTCATTATTTTCAGCAGTGTCCTCTGTTCAGTGTCATAACTGAAAAGAAGAATATGTCACTTCAACAATAACAGGTTCATTGTTTAAAACCCTAAATCTGAAACTTCTAAGTGAAGGAAAGTTCTACTTAAGTGACTAGCAGGGACTGTCCTCTGAAGGGACACAAGCATGTGACCTTTCCCTACCTACACCCTCAAGTATATCATCTGCAGAGATAAAATGTACTGTTTACATCATTTTTTTTGCTGCAACAGCAAAATTACTCCAATGGGAAATCACTCTGGAGTTTCCTTTACTTCGGTAACTTTTTTTCAAAGATTTTATTTATTTGACAGAGAAAGATCGAGAGAGCACAAGCAGGGAGAGAGCGGCACAGGGAAAGGGAGAGGGAGAGGCAGACTCCCGGCTGAGCAGGATGGGGAGTGGATCCCAGGACCCCCGGATTTTGACCCCAGCAGAAAGGCAGACACCTAACCATTGAGCCACCCAGGAGCCCATGGTAAGTAACTCTTTGAAACCAAATATTTGCAACATTTTTGTAATTCAAGAGTAGGTCATCCTCTGGATACAACTGGTAGAGTTAATTTCATTCAAAGGACCTTTGTTCACATGTATTCTCAGTCAACATATCCCTCCTAACAGCTATTGGTTAAAACCAGAACGGCTGTATCAGGCCTAGAATAAAAAGTTACAATGGCTTAATGCTTTAGGTTTGAAAGCTCTTCACACGGAGCAGGTGGAGATGTTGCCTAAGGTTTGGACGTTCTGCGAGTTAATTATCAGTGGTTTGGTAAAGTTGCATCTGTTTGCACTTATACAGCGGTGGGGGTGAGCGAGCACGGATTAGAAACACTTCTACAACCTATGCCCGAGTAGTTCCTTTCCATTCATTCACTCAACAAATACATTTTAGTTAAATATTTATTGAGTACCTATTACATGCCAGGTACTATGCTAAATGTCAGGGGATACGTTTTAATAACTATAGCAGGCACCATTATTTTCATTGTTATCTATACCTGTAAACAGTAAATCCGGGAGGAATCCGGATGCCCTCGCTGAGGCTGGACTTACAGGATGTTTACCTGGAGAACTGCCAACTCTAATTGAGGACCCTGTACGCCTGGAGTGATCGAAACAGAATTCCCACAACCAGGCCCCAGACAGAAAGCCCTGTGAACTCCTAAGTGGAGAAACTGCGCTCAGAGGTGGCTCTGCGAAGGGGAACTGGACCAGGACACAGCCGGGAGAGGCAGCCTGCAGTGCACAAGTTTTGTACTGTTGGACTTTCCTCTGGTGTGATCGCGCGTTCTGTGGACGAGCGGGCGCCGCTGCAGACCTGCGGACACCCCCGCGGGTCGCGCGCACGCCCCCCGCACGGGGAAGCTGCCGGGCGGGGGGTGGGGGGCAGCAGCCGGCGCAGTCTGGGGCTCAGCGCGATCGCGGGGTGCCGGGAGCCACTGCAGGGAGGGGCTCCCGGGGGACCGCGCTCCCAGTGGAGGGGAAGCAGCTCCGGGTTGCAGGGCAGGAATGTGCCCTTCCCGGCCAACTTTCGGCCGCCGCAACGGAAGCAGGAACTGGCTAAGCACACAACCCGCGGGCAGGGGGGAGCTGCGGAGCATCCCTGCCGCCCTCGCCGAGACCCGCGCGCCGATCTGCAGCTCCTGGCCCGCGAGCGCGCCGGGCTGTTCCCTCGCCCGGGTAGGACACCGGGGCCCCCGGGGCCTGTCGTTGCCAGGTAAAGGCGTCGCCACCTTCCCCTCCAGGCGGACCGCTGAGAGCGAGCACTCCCTACCCGCCCGCGCCCCGTCCTTTCCTGGCGCTCCCTTCTACCTCTCCCCGAGCGCCAAGACCCGGGCTGGGGCGAGGAAGGGCTGGCCCGGGTGTTGGTGGGGCTGCGGACCCCCAGAGGGGATCTCCAGTCTCGCGCAACAGCACCTGTCACAAACGGCACTGGCTCCGCGTCGTCATCAGGAGAGGCTGAAGAACGCTCAGTAAGCGACATGCATTTCCTCAAAGGAAGGGAAAGAAAATGATTTCCAGTATTTGGCCCAGTTGTGTACAAGTGCGTTTTAGTGACGGTAGTAAGCAGGCGTTAAAGCTCAGGTGCTTCCTCTCGCTCCCACCTGTATCCTTTCCCCCCTACCTTTCAATGGAATTCAACTTGGCTGTGGACCTTTAAGGCCTACGTAATGATGATTAGAAGAATTACTTTACCTAATAGTTGTTGAGCATCTTTAGCGAGAAAATCTCTTCAGGACTTCTTGCAGTCCAGGTGCTAAAAAGGTGCTGCGTACAGAAAGCACAGTTCCTACCCCATCCCCTCGCTTAGTTCCGGCTTCTCTGCAAGAACTCCAGGAAAGACTGTCAGAATCCATTCAAAGTAAAGTATGGGCCTGGTTTTCCTCTTTTGTTCCTGTTTGGTTTTCTGGATGGCTAGAAAAAAGACTTGGGAAATGTGACAGCATAAAAAGATAACTCGTGCCAGGATTCTTTTTTTTTTTTTTTTTTTTTTAAGATTTTTTATTTATTTATTTGACAGAGAGACACAGCGAGAGAGGGAACACAAGCAGGGGGAGTGGAAGAGGGAGAAGTAGACTTCCCGCTGAGCGGGGAGCCCGATGCGGGGCTCGATCCCAGGACTCTGGGATCATGACCTGAGCCAAAGGCAGACGCTTAACCGACTGAGCCACCCAGGCGCCCTGTGCTAGGATTCTTTTTTTTTTTTTTTTAAGATTTTATTTATTTATTTGAGAGAGAGAGAATGAGAGAGAGCACATGAGAGGGGGGAGGGTCAGAGGGAGAAGCAGACTCCCTGCCGAGCAGGGAGCCCAATGTGGGACTCGATCCGGGGACTCCAGGATCATGACCTGAGCTGAAGGCAGTCGCTTAACCAACTGAGCCACGCAGGCGCCCTGTGCTAGGATTCTTAACCTGGAGAAGCCCTGGATAGTATTCAAAAAGTCTGAGCACTTCAGCAGGAACATTTATTATTTTAGTAGCCTCGAACTGAAATGGAACATGTCCTCTAAGAGGCGCTAGTCAAATCCATAGGAGAACTAGAGGCAGCTGTAATTTGCCACCAGCAGGAATCACAGGTGTTTTCATATCATATTACTTATTACACGGATCTCAAGTATCCTGTACATTCAACAATCCTTCAAAATTATGGTGGGTTATTAGGGGCGCCTGGGTGGTTCAGTCTGTCCGGCCTCTGACTCTTGATTTCAGCTCAGGTCATGATCTCAAGGTTGTAAGATCAAGCCCCATGGGGCTCCGTGCTCAGGTGGAGTCTGCTTGTCCCTTTCCCTCTGCTCTTCCCCCAACTTGGGCGCTCTCTCTAAAATAAATAAATAAACAAACAAATAAACAAATAAAATCTTCAACATTATGGCAGTTATTAGATGTACCACTTGTTATTCACTAGGTTAATAAAGAAGCAGAAAGGGTCACCTTGGTGGCTCAGTCGTTAAGCGTCTGCCTTAAGCTCAGATCCTGGTCCCAGAGCCCTGGGATCGAGCCCCGCATCGAACCCCGCACCGGGCTCCCTGCTCCCTGCTCGGCTGGAAGCCTGTCTCTCCCTCTCCCACTCCCCCTGCTTGTGTTCCCTCTCTCGCCGTGTCTCTCTTGATCAAATAAATAAAAATCTAAAAAAAATAATAAACATAAATATCCCACAATTGTTTCTATTTTGACTGAAAATGGGACTAATTTTTTTTTTAAAGATTTTATGTATTTAAGAGAGAGCATGAGGGGTGAGGGAGGGAGAGGGAGAGCCAGACTCCCCACTGAGCGAGGAGCCTGATGTGGGGCTCGATCCCAGGACTCTGGGATCGTGACCTGAACTGAAGGCAGCCGCCTAACCAACTGAACCACCAGGCACCCCTGAAAATGGGGTTAATAATGGGATCTATCTCATAAGGATTGGAATCTATCTCATTAGGATTCTTTTTTTTTTTTTTTTAAGATTTTATTTATTTATTTGACAGAGAGAGACACAGTGAGAGAGGGAACACAAGCAGGGGGAGTGGGAGAGGGAGATGCAGGCTTCCCGCTGAGCAGGGAGCCGGATGTGGGGCTAGATCCCAGGACCCTGGGATCATGACCTGAGCCGAAGGCAGATGCTTAACGACTGAGCCACCCAGGCGCCCCTCATTAGGATTCTTGTAAGGATTAGTTGACATGACACATGTAAAGTGCTTAGTATAGAGACTGGCACCTGAGAAACATAAATGTTACTTATTTGACTGTTTATAAAAATTGGACACAATAGCAAGGAAGATATTGGACTTGTACTGTTACTGTATATGGGTAATATATGTTTGTTTTTTTTGCTTTTTAATTTTTTTACTAACATCTATTTGTTTATATTAGAGATCAGTCTTTTTTTTTTTAAGATTTTATTTTTAAGTTATCTCTACACCCAGTGTCAGGCTCAAACTTACAACCCTGAGATCAAGAGTTGCATGCTCCCCGAACTGAGCCAGTGAGGTCCCCCAATATTAGGGACTCTTTGTATTGTACAGTTATGTGGGTTTTGACAAATGTAAAGACAAACAAACAAACAAAAAACAACCATTACAGTAGCCTATAGAATAACCTCAGTATAAAAATCCCCTGTGCTCCACCTATTCATCCCTCCCTTCCTCTGCCTAGCAACCACTAATATTTTTAGTGTTGATGTAGTTTTGCCTTTTCCAGAATGTCATATAGTTGACAAGGAGTCATACATTTCAGACTGGCTTCTTTCACTTAGCAATATGCAATTATGTTTCCTCTATGTCCTTTTGTGGCTTGATAGCTCATTTCTTTTTACTACTGAATAATATTCTACTGTATGGATATACCACATTTTGTTTATCCATTCACCTATTGAAGGAACATCTTGGTCGTTTCCAGTTTTTGGCAATGATGTATAAAGTTACTATAAACATTTGTATGTAAATTTTTGTAGGATTTGGTAGTGTCAGTTTTCTGGATTTTAGTCATTCTAATAGATGTATAGTAGTATCTCACTGTTGTTTTAATTTGCAGCTCCCTGATGACTATGATGTTAAGCACCTTTTCATTTGCTTATTTATCATCTGTATATCTCCTTTGGTGTGGTGTCTGTTCAGATACTTTGCCCATTTTTTATTGGGTTGTTTTCTAAGTTTTAAGAGTTCTTTGTATATTTTACCTACTAGTCCTTTATCAGGTATGTGTTTTGCAAATATTTCTCCCAGTCTGAGGCTTATCTTTTTTATTTTCTTAGTGTCTTGGGCAGAGCAGAAGTTTTAATTTTAATGAAATCCAACCTATCCAGTTTTTTCTTTAGTGGATTGTGCTTTAGGTATTATATCTAAAAACTCATTGCTTAATCTGAGTTCCAAAGATTTTCTCCTATGTTATATTCTAAGAGGGTTTTTTTTTATTTTAAAGATTTTATTTTTAAGTAATCTCTACACCCAACGTGGGGCTCAAACTCACAACCCCCTGAGACCAAGAGTCACATGCTCTACCAACTGAGTCAGCCAGGTGCCCCTGTAGGAGTTTTATAATTTTACATTTTATATTTAGGTCTATGATCCATTTTGAGTTAATTTTTGTAAATGACGGAAAGTTTGTATCTAGATTTATCTTTTTGCATATGGGTTCTAGCACCATTTTTGAGAAGGCTATCCTTTCTCTATTGAATTGCCTTTGCTCTTTTGTTAGACATCAGTTGACTGAATTTGTGTGGGTCTATTTCTGGGCTTATTATTATGTTCTATTTTTCTGTTCTTTCTATTCTTTTGGCAGAACCACACTGTCTTGATTACTGTAACTTATATACCAAGTACTGAAGTTAGGTAGTGTGAATTCTCCAACTTTGTTCTTCTTCAGTATTGTGTTGGCCATTCTGGGCCTTTCTGCATTTCCATGTAAACTTTAAAATCAACACTTTAAGTCATGCCTGGGTGGCTCAGTTGATTAAGTGTCTGACTCTTTTGGCTCAGGTCATGATGTCAGGGTCGTGAGATTGAGCCCCGCGTCCAGCTCCATGCTCAGTGGGGAGTCTGCTTGAAATTACCTCTCTCCTTCTCCCTCTACCTGCCCCCCCCAACATGTGTTCTCTCTCTCTCTCAAATAAATATATCTTTAAAAAAAAATCAAAACTTTAAAATTGTTGAGATCCCCAAAATAACTTGCTGGGAACTTTATTGGGATTACACTGAATCTATAGGTCAAGTTGGGAAGAATGGATATCTTAATACCGAACATGGAACATCTCTCCATTTACTTGGATTTTCTTTGCTATTTTACATCAGAGTTTTGTAGGCATATTTTAAAAACTACTTTGATAATTATATTTCATATAACTGGCTCCCTTTGTAATCATATATATTTAAAATTTGTATTTTAAAACATGTCTCTCAGAAAAAATCCTAAGCTTCTAAGCTTCACCAGACTATCAAAGGGGTTGGATTCATGACCAAACAAGAAAAGGAAGAAGAAGATTCAAGAAGCAGTAGTTCTTTCTTTCTTTTTTTTAAGAGAGAGTGCTTGTGTGTGAGCAGGGGAGGGGGGCAGAGGGAGAGGGAGAGAGAGAATCCCATGGGACTCGATCTCACAACCCTGAGATCATGACCTGAGCCGAAATAAGAGTCGCTTGCTTAACTGACTGAGCCACCCAGGTGCCCCAAAGAAGTAGTAATTCTGCTCTAGACTATCATTCAGTGAACAATTTGTATTCTGGAAATGAATGAGTTCCCTCTACTGACCAGCTAACTGTTAGAATTAAATTATTAGAGTTACCTGTCTCTGGTTTGATACCTAAGGAGAGGCAGCAACAAGAAAGACAGCCCCAGTTTCCTCATCTATTAATGAGGAAAATAATAGCTTTTTTTGCAGAGCTAGTATAAGGATTAAATAGGACGATATATGTATATTTCATAGCACATTGCCTACCACCTAGTAGGTGATTTAAAAATGCTACTTGTTATTACCAAGAAAGAAACCATGGTCAAGCGTATTATCGCTGCTTTATCAGTGACTAGAAATTTTGTGTCCCCTCCCCTCCTGGTTAGGAGAAGCAAGAAGAGAAAGGATTCTAGAACTTGGGGGCAGGCCTGCTGTTTATACCTCTTCCATCATAAACACTGGTCAGCTTTTAAGCATTGATGGGATAGTATATGTGTTTGTGCTAATTAGTTCTTTACCAAGCTTTTTTCCTAAGATTTATTTATTCATTTTAGAGAGACAGTGCACAGGGGGCAGGGGCAGAGGGAGAGAGGGAGAGAGAATCTCAAGCAGACTCTCTGCCGAGCATGTAGCCTGATTCAGGGCTTGATCTTATGACCTTGAGATCATGACCTGAGCTGAAATCAAGCGTTGGATGCTCAACCAACTGAGCCACCCAGGCGCCCCTCTTTACCAAGTTTTTAATGAGAGATTGTCTTGATCTATTAAAAGTGAAACATAAAAAATGCTTGTTTATTTCTGTTTTAAAATCATGTATTGTTTATATTGACTTGAAGGAAATGAACTATATCTTCGCTAGATTTATTAAAAGAAACAAAACTCATTGCTGATGTTTTATTTTTGTTCTAGAGAGAAATTCCATGATCTGTACAATCTTCTTGAAGCAAACTCAGACCAGAGGGAGGATTATCCTTGACCTTTGAAGACTAAGACTAAACTGAAATTTAAAATGTTCTTTAGGGACAAATGGAACTTGACTTACACTTGTGTAATAATTTGTTTCCTGACACTAAGGCTGTCCACCAGTCAGAATTGCTCTACCAAGAGTTTAGAAGATGTTGTCATTGACATCCAATCATCTCTTTCTAAGGGAATTAGAGGCAATGAACCCATACATACATTAACTCAGGAAGACTGCATTAATTTTTGCTGTTCAACAAAAAACGTAACAGGTAAGTAATAGTCTCTTGGCAGCTCTTCATTCCAAGTGTTTTGTGACATGAGTAGCTGGTTGATGTGGCTGCAGAGATTATCCTAGTGATTCTCAGTGGGGTAGAAATGTGGGTAACAAAACCACTGGGAGAATGTTCCACAAGCGTGTCCTCTCCTCCCCTAAGCTGAGGCAAAGTTACTGATGAGTGTGTGTGTGTGTATCACAGGTGTCTGGTTAGAAAAAAGGCTGAGAACCACTGGTGCTATGTCCTAATAGGTATCTAAGATGTTTCCAATATCTTAGAAACAGAAATCCTTAAGGGACATGGGAAGTTGTTTGGTCGGACCCATTCACGTGACACAGAAGGAAACCGAGGCCCACGGGTGTGAACCACACCTTTGCATATTTCAAGTTTCAGATCTATGACTTGAAAAAGAAACAGTGAAACAGTGATCATTTTTCAGGTGTTTATGATCCTGTTCTAACTCCCTAAATGAAAAATAAATGAACAAACAACAACAGCAACAAAAAAACACACACAAAATTTATTGAGCACCAAATGCCTTGCCAGGTGCTGGAGACAAAACAATGAATAAGATGGACAGGGTCTTGCCATCAAGGGGCCTAGAAGAGCTAGTGAACACTGGACTAATGGTTCTTACCTCACTTATTAGCCAGCCAAATCATGTGTTTTCTCTTATATCTTTAGCTTCTTTTCTTTCTATAATGGGTGTGATATAGTAAGAAATATATGCATATAATCTTTGTTCTTGGTTCCTGGCACAGAGCTCCTAAAAACCTTGCAATTTCCTAAGCAGAGGAGCTTCTTTTGTTATTCATTATAAGCCCTTTTCAACCACACCTGAATTTGTGCTCATAGCTTCAGGGTGGGTACTGGTCGCAAGAGAGACCAAGCCTTGATTAGAATTTTGGAACTTTCAGCCCCACCCCCACCTCCAAGTAAAAAAGAGGGGCTGAAGATTGAATTCAGTCACCAACGGCCAATGATTTAATCAATTATGCCCACATAATGAAATCTCCATAAAAATCCTGAAACCATAGTTTTAGGCAGCTTCCAAGTTGGCGAACACATCCATGTGTCCGGGACAGTTGTGCACTCCAGCTTCCCTAGGACAGAAGCTCCTGCAGTCAGGACACTTCCATACCTTGCCCTTTCTACCCTTCGTCTGGCTGTTCATTTCTGTCTTTTACAACAAAATGTAATAGTAAGTATAGCTTTTTCCTGAGATCTGTGAGTAGTTCTAACAAATTATCAAACCTGAGGTAAGGGTTTGTGGGAACCTGAATTTATAGCCACACTGGGCAGAAGTGTGAGTAACCTAGGACCTGATACTTTTTACTATTATTATTATTATTATTATTATTATTATTACTATTATTTGAGAGAGAGAGCGCACAAGCCAGGGGACAGGGAGAAACAGACTCCCTGCTGAATAGGGAGCCCCCACAGGGCTCAATCCTAGGACTCCGAGGTCATGACCTGAGCCTAAGTCAGACGCTTAACCAACTGAGCCACCTAGGCATCTCCCTAGGACCTGATACTTTTTTTTTTTTTTAAGATTTTATTTATTTATTTGAGACAGAGAGAATGAGAGAGAGAGAGCACATGAGAGGGGGGAGGGTCAGAGGGAGAAGCAGGCTCCCCGCCGAGCAGGGAGCCCGATGCGGGACTCGATCCAGGGACTCCAGGATCATGACCTGAGCCGAAGGCAGTCGCTTAACCAACTGAGCCACCCAGGCGCCCGGACCTGATACTTTTGACTGGCATCTAAGTGAGGATAGTCTTATGGGACTGAGCCCTTAAGCCTGTGGAGTCTGATGATAACTCCAGGTAGTTAGTGTAAGAATTGAATTGAATTGTAAGATAGATGGTGTCAGAGAATCAGAGAATGGAGAATTAGTGTGGAAACAATACCACATATTTATTTGATGTCAGGAGGACAAAAAAAAAAACCCTTCAGTGGTCGTCTCAAACTTGGCAGTGTGCTTTTGGACATTCTTTATAGACTGATTTATGGAAATTACAGAGATTTAATTTAAATTTCCAGTTTTTCTTTAAATGTTATCAACATTTATGTGAAACAGAAAATCATCTGCAAACAGGACTGAATGCTGTGTGGGTGTCTGCTGGCAAAACAGGAAACCTTGCTTTGCTTTTCAGTTCCATAATGGGTGTTCAGTAAGAAATGGGGGTTTGCTGCTTTATTGTACAAGCAAAATTACTGTTACTGCTTTACTGTAAGCAGAGGTAATTGTGGGTCTCATTTAATGGATCTCAGACTTTTTCCTCATTTATTGAGCAATGACCTTTAACTGCTTAGGGTTCAAAAAAGCACTTTGATAATTTGCTTGGAGTCACAGCCGCTAGAAGAATGCCCGGAAGTACAAAGGACACAAGATTTTGCATACAACTTGGGGGTTTATGGACCCTCCCCTTTACCTATGTGCCCCCCAAAAATGGTATTGCAGAATTATCCCATTGCTGAGAAAGGAAAAGCTAACGTACCTTTCTTATTGCCTGAGTGATGGGGAGCCAACATGATCAGATCCCCACAGAAGCTCACTGAGTCTTATTTCCAAATGTGGGAATCAAGGTTGATCCTAACCATTGCCTGATTTGAAGATGTGGTTCTGATGGCCAGTTATGCAGGGTTTCTTCCCAAAGCTTTCCTGAGATATATTGGGCACATAATATTGCGTAAACTAAAGATATACAGTGTGATGATTTGATGCATGTATGTATTATGACATGATACCAGAACAAGGTTAGTTAACACATGATTGTGAGTGTGTGTGTGTGTGTGTGTGTGGTGAGAAAGAGCATGCATTTTTAATAATTAGTCTATATGCCTGTTAACCTTCATCCTGACCAGGGATATACTGATCCCTCAAGGGTCATAGGCCAAGAAGTGAGACTGTACTAGACTGAGGCCAAAGCCAACTCTAGGCCATAATGAATAGAAAGTATAACTTCTATTAGGCAGAAGAGGAAGAGAAAAAGAAGTCAGAAATAAAAGCTAAGAGTGAAAAGCCAGAAAGGAAGGAAAATGGAAAAGCAGAAATAAGGAAGAGTAGAAATGTGAAGGAAAAATTCAAAAGAAGAATTGTACTGATAAAAGTAAAAAATGGACCTTGTATTCCATACACTACTCAGACCCTTTGTGGAAGGAGGCATGGTAGGATGATGCTGAATTTAGTAATTCTACCCAAGAAAGTCAGACTCATGGCTTCATAGGTGTCTGAGATAGGTGTCTGCCTTCTGGATACAAGAGATAGATGAAATCATTAGGTTAGATCCATTTCTTAAGTCCCAACTCAGTTGTGGGTTGTGTAAAGATTGTGAAGTCAGTATTTCTGTGGATGTTTCCATGGATATTTTAGCAAATGGAAGGCTTATCTAAAGAATTAAATGTATTATTTTTAAAAAAAGAATTAAATGTACTACCTAAAGTTGGTTTTGCCAGAATGACCTTAATTCAGATGTTTAAACCCAAGGTCTTTACAAATTGCTTTACGAGACTAAGGAAGAGGAAATGAGTCAGCGGTCAGCCGGCAAATGAACAATGTGAAGGAAGGTGTTTGTGTTGGATAGCAGAATAAATCATTGCCTACTCTTTAAAATCTCCTATTTCAGTATAATGCTTACAAAGCCTTTCATTGCAGGAGACAAAGCATGTAACTTGATGATCTTCGATACTCGAAAAACAGCTACACAGCCCAACTGCTACCTTTTTTTCTGTCCCAGTGAGGAAGCTTGTCCACTGAAACCAGCAAAGGGACTTATGAGTTACAGGATAATTAGAGGTAAGAATAGCATTGTTCTTTTTCTTTGGTGATTGGAATTATTTAAGGATGTGGTTCATGTGAAAGATTTTCTACAAAAGAGTCTAAGTAAAACTACCAAAAGTGGTCATAAATACAGAGGCACACTGGAAAACTCTCATGATTTAAAGTTCAGTTTATTAAATCAACCATCTTTTTTCCAATGAAAGATCTCCAAATGATAGTATTTTATGTTGTATAGCTTTTGTTTTTACCTTCCTGAGATAAAATTCCAGGATGTTTGTCTTCAGTTTCCAATTATTTTATAATAACATTAGCTGAAATCAAACACACTGGATTTTATTATCCAGACCTGGAGGGAAGTTCATTCAAAAAGTATTTACTGTGCATCTACCATGTGCCAAATTCTGTGCAAGGCATTGGAAATATAGTCTCCATACTAAACATATTTGTTCAGAATACAGAAAATAAACAACTGAAAAATAATATAATTATTCGGATATGTCTTGGTGAGATTTTGGCTTGTTAGTTTTTCAAGATGAAATGCTTTTGGTATCAAGTTTCCTTTTATTTAAGTTTTAGAAAGTTTTTGTCATTACACTCTTGATGATTAATAATATTCTATTTGTTCATTTACTAAATAAACAACAAATGTTACTTAGCATCTCCTAGGTGCCAAACATTTATTCTGCCCTAAGGACACAAAAATATAACACTAAACATGAAAAACAAGGTCCTTACCTCTGGAACTTACGTTTTAGGAGAGACAATAATCATCATAAATAAGTAATCAAGAAAAATATAGTCACAAGTGCTATGTGGATGAGAAAAGATAACGTAATAGATGATCACTGAGTGGACTGTCTTGATTAGGTGATCAGAGGAAGCATCTGTGAAGAAGTAACCCCTTGACTGAGATATGAACAGTAAGAAGTCAGATGTGAGATCTGAGAAGAACTTTAGGCAGAGGAAATAGCCCATTCCAATATCCTGAGGCAGAATAGTTTTGGAGTATTGAAGAACAAACACTTCAGTCCCAGCTGGCTGACTCATAGTGAACCATATAAAGAGTGATATGCAAGAAGTTTGAAAAGTGGGGAGGTCACATAAAGCTTTGGAAGCCACAGTAGGAAGTTCTTATTTTAGGTGCTTAACAGGAAGCCGTTGGGAGTTTTTGAGCAGACATGTATTGTGGTGTTTTCAATGTGATTTCGCAAAGCTCACTGGGACTGCTCAACTGGGGACGGACAAAAATGCCGCAGCAAGAGGGGCAGTGGGAAGACTTGGTAGGAGGTGGGGCAAGATCCCAGCGAAACACCATGGCACTGTGGACCAGGGAGGTGGCAAATGAGGTAGAGAGAAGTAAATATACGGCCATTTCAGAGGTAGAACTGACAGGACTTGCCGATGGGGTGGGGTGGGGGGTGACAACAGGGAAGAGAGAAGCATTCGAGTTGAGTCCTAGCTTGAGTGTCTACATGGATGTTGGCACCATCTACTGAGCTGGAGAAGGTTTGAGGAGACTGGTTTTAGGGTTGGGAGGGGGAGTGCAATCAAGGGTTCTCTCTCTCTCTTTTTGAAGATTTTATTTATTTATTTGAGAGAGAGAGAGAGAGAACAAGAGGAGGAGCAGAGGGAGAGAGAGAGAGCAGACTCCGTGTTGAGCGTGGAGCCTGACGGGGGGCTCAATTCCAGGACCCTGAGAGCATGACCTGAGGCGAAATCAAGAGCCGGTCACTTAACTGATTGAGCCACCCAGGCACCCCTCAAGGGTTCTCTCTTGACTGTGTTATGTGTGAGGTACTTTGGGGAATGAACTACCCAGGCTGCCTGGGCACAGACTCTGCTTTGTCCTCTGGGTGAGCCTGTGTCAGAGTTTTGGTTAATGAACTAGATGTATCAAACATTCCTTTAAGCGGGAAAGTAAAGCACAAATCATTTGTGTAAATTCTTCCCAAGTAGGGATATAAACCCAAGTATAAGAAAACTTGCACAGGGTGCAAAGTTTCAGTTCTGCAAGATGAAGAAAATTCTGGAGATGGGTGAAGGTGATGGTTGCAGAGCAAAGTGAATATACTCAATGCCACTGAACTATATACTTAGAAAGAGTTATGTACAATTGTATGTACAATAACGTAAAGTAATGTACATGTACAATGTAAAATGATTTTTAAAAACACTAGGCATAGAACAAATGAGGCTTCTCAAAACACTCAAGACCTTACTTTACGTGGACAGTGTCTTGTCCTGCCCCCTCCCCAGAGTGGCTGCCCCTGATCTGTGTGGCTCCTTCACTTCGTCCCTGTATATATATATATCATCTTGGCTAAAAACACTGGGGCCTCCAGGGTGGTGGTGATACTTCTTGCTGTCCTCTTTGATCACCTGGACCATTGCATTAGACAGCCAGGGGTGGTATCTAGCAGGAGATGGATATCCCAGTCTTAGTCTCCAAAGAGGTCAGGGCTCAAGACACTGATTGGAACGTTTGTTCTTCTCCTTCTGGAACTCCTATCATACGGAAGCTGGACCATAACGTTCTGCCTCTGTTATTCCTTCTCACTACCTCTTCATTCTGTCCCTTCTTCCACTATCCATGTGCTTCCCTATATCTGTCTTCTATTTTGTCATTAAAGCACAATGTCAAAGAAATTACAGGTAATTTACTCCAGTAATTCTACGTCCCTAAAATCTAAAGACACAACACCAAAACAAGAAAAAGCTATTGGTTTGAAGTTGTTTATTGTATAATTAGTTTAAAGAGTGAAAAACTAGAAGTAGCATAAATGTCCAATTGCCAGAGAATGATTGGGTGTAAAATATGATGGATCCACTTGAGAGAATATGATGCAGATGTTAAAAAATAAGTTTGAGGGGGGTGCCTGGGTGGTTCAGTGGTTAAGCATCTGCCTTCAGCTCAGGTCATGATCCCAGCGTCCTCTTGGGGAGTCTGCTTCTCCCTCTCCTCTGCTGCTCCCCCTGCTTGTGCTCTGTCTCTCTCTGTGTCAAATAAATAAATAAAATAAAATAAAAATAAGTTTGAGGTATATAAATAAACAAAATTTCAGGTGAAAAACAGCAGTTGTTTTTCAATTACATGAAAAAAAAATTTAAGGTATACAGAAATGTTAATAGTCATTAGGACATAATGATAAAAATTATAGTTGAATTTGTTTTATAATTTTCATAATTCTCTGTAATATTTTTGCTTTATAAAGCATGTGTAAAAGAGGGAGTGTGCGGTAAAGATTCTCTCCAGTGGAAATGGGAGAAAAGGGAACTTGGCATGTGTATAAACATTTTCAGGGAGGGTATGAAGGTAATAAAGGGGAATTAGAATCAAACAGTGCCTGTAGCAGCCACCAGGGGGCACCCTCAGCCCAGAGCAGGTTGCTTGATATCTCAGAGCAAAGTGGCAACAACCCTGGACATAGAATGCCGCTGACTTTTTAATCTACAGGATGTTTAAAAATTAAGTTTGTAATTCTATTTATGAATCTGCCCATGTTGATGGATTAAGATCCCCCATAAAAATAAACTATCTGCTTCCTGTTTAGAGTGAAATTAAATAGATATCTGTTTGGTGGTTTGTTTCCAGATGAACTCGATTTCCTATAACTGATAGGCTAATATTTACAGACCAAAAGTTTGAAAGATGACAGTGTACTCTGTTCATTCTACAAAACCATTGCAACTTGGCATTATGGAATTTTTTTTTCAGCTTCGTGGTGTGTCATGTCTACCAAGGATTAGAATAGGGGAATTCAGAGATAGAATAAATTGGGAGTCTGTTTGCTCAGTTGGTTTCCAAGGAATAGTCAGTCCCTAAGTTTTTTATTTCGTGAAGTCCCTTGAGACTGAAACTCAAAAGAGGGATTGAGGGCACAGGGCTGTTTCACAGTCCCCTCTGGCTCACCTCTACATGAGCAAGAAAAACACCACACCCCAATGGCAAACATCAGAGGGTGAGGTAAACGGAGCAGGTGTTGAGAATCCCTGTGTGGTTCTAGGATCTTTGCCAATAGATTAATCTTATCAAGAAATGGGACTAGCCCTAGCCTTGCTTTCTTTATGAGCTTGCATTCTTGAGAAAGAAAGCAGCTGTTTTGGTCATTCTTTGTCAATGGCTTTAAGTTCTGAGTTCATACACATCACAGAGCATTTATTTAACTAGTCTTTTTTTTTTAACTTTAAAATGAAATACGTTGGGGCACCTGGGTGGCTCAGTCAAGTTAAGTGGCAGCCTTTGGCTCAGGTCATGATCTCAGGGTCTGGGTATGGAGCCCCACGTCGGTCTCCCTGCTGGGGGGGGTCTGCTTGCCCTCTCCCTCTGCCCCTCCCCCCTCCTCGTACTTTCTCTCTCTCTCTCTCAAATAAATAAAATCTTTAAAAAAATTTTTTTAAAAATGAAATGTGTTGAGTCCTGTTCTTTTTTTAAAAAAAATATCTGATACTACCTAAAAATAGAGATGCTGTTTATCTCATGGTGATGTTATATCTGCAAATGTGGTATAACCTGCAGCAGAAACTCTTTCCTTCAGTGTTGTCGGAGGAGAGAGGCATTTCAATCCTCCAAATTCTATTTTAGAGCAAAGTACTATATCCTAAAGCAGGTGTCTGCAAATATTTTCTGTTGAGGGCAAAATGATAAGTATTTTAGGCTTTCCAGGCCAGTATTTTAAGTTTTATGGGCCATATGCAATCTGTTGTACCTATTCACCTCTGTCCTTGTAGTATGAAGTACCCACAGCCAATGTATAAACAAATGAGCACGGTTACCTGCCAATAAAGCTTTATTTGCAGACACTGAAATTTGAATTTTATGTAATTGTCATGTGTCCCAAAATATCCTCTTTGATTTTTGTCAGCCATTTAGAAATGTAGATCTTGGCTCATAAGCCATACAAAGAGAAGTGGCAAGGGGCGCCTGGGTGGCTCAGTCAGTTAAAAGTCTGCCTTGGGCTCAGGTCATGATCCCAGAGTCCTGGGATCGAGCTCCACATCAGGCTCCCTGCTCCACGGGAAGCCTGCTTCTCCCTCTGCCACTCTCCCTGCTTGTGTTCCCTCTCTCTCTGTGTCTCTATCAAATAAATAAATAAAATCTTAAAAAAAAAAAACAAATAAAAAAGAGAGAAGTGGCAAGCCAGATTTGGCCCTCGGGTCATAATTTGCTGACCCCTGTCCTAGATGGACTAATAAGTGACAGTTCTTTTTTTTTTTTTAAGATTTTATTTATTTACGCTTATGTGGGCAAGCAGGGGGAGGGGCAGAAGGAGAGGGAAAGAGAGGATCTCAAGCCGACTCCACACTGAGCCCGACATGGGGCTCTATTTCACGACCCTGAGATCATGACCTGAGCCAAAGTCAAAAGTCAGCCGCTTGACCGACTGAGCCACACAGGCGCCCCCGTAAATGACAGTTTGAAAGGACTCTTTGAAGTGTGAAGCTTACAGAGCAGTCAAAGATATTTACAAATCTGAGGTTGTCTCTGGATCTGTTTGTTAGCAGAGGGGAGAGTGGGGTCTGGTTCAGAAACTGGCATTGAGAGGAGTTGAAGAAGAAAAGGGGGAAGAGAACAGAACAATAAACATTAAGAAATTCCTTTTCTTCCTTCCTTGTGTTTGCTGCCGTTCAAATCTAAGTGAAGTGATTAGCCAAGCAGCAGAGTGATACAGAGCAGTTCAGATGATCATTCCCTGCCCCTGATGACTCCAAAAACCCTTTCCAGTTTGAGCTGTGATGAATGGCGTGTGAGACTAAGAGCACAACTCTAAACCTTCTCTTACCCTGAGGAGGATCTGAGGCTGGTTCCTCCCCAGCAGCCCCCAGAACTGTGTGATTTTCTGCTCTTTATGTCAGCTCTGTGGCCATCCTAATTTCAAATATTGGTTCCATTGTCCTCAGACTGAAGACATTGGCTCTGAAATGTTAATCTTTGAGAGTCAAAATTAAATCTCCTAGATTGCCTTGCTCCCCTGAGCGTGGGGCCAAAACCTTTTTTTTTTTTTAAAGATTTTATTTATTTATTTGAGACAGAGAGAATGAGAGAGAGAGAGCACATGAGAGGGGGGAGGGTCAGAGGCAGAAGCAGGCTCCCTGCCGAGCAGGGAGCCCGATGCGGGACTCGATCCCGGGACTCCAGGATCATGACCTGAGCCGAAGGCAGTCGCTTAACCAACTGAGCCACGCAGGCGCCCCCTTTTTTTTTTTAATTGGAAAATGTCATCAATCTTCTGCTGCTGCCTTGGCCTCTGTGCCCTGGGAGGAGACCAGACCTTCCCTCCAGTCCCATCCTCCTCCTCTTTGTGGCAGGCAAATGGCCCGGGTTCTGCCTGGGCTCCTCATCGCCCCGAGGCCTCTATTACCGTCCTTGCCTTTGGGCTGCCCTTGCTGTGAAGTCTCTCCTTGGTGATTGCTGGTTTCCCAGGGAGCCTTCTCTCCACCAGTTCCTGCCATGTCACCCTGGCCCAGCTCTATTCCCTGGCTTTGGCCCCCTACACGTCCCCATGTTCCTAAACCTCCTGAGCTCCTCTTAGCTCCCTTGTTCTGCTCCTCCCACCTCTTCCTTAATTTGCCTGGTCCTCCTCCACACATTTCTCCTCTGTCCCATCACTCTAGAAATAAACCACAGCATCTGGTAGAGAGGCAGTGTCATCAGATTCTGATTTAGCAATTTGTATTTTTCCATTTTGCGCAAGTTTCTACAAAATGTCAAGTTTCAACAGTTTGGGGATTTACTGAACAAGCTGATACGTTTGTCTTTTTTTTAACCTGCCTCAGCTTGGAAATATTTAAGTCTCCTTTTAATTTTCTTTACATTTTTCAGATTTTCCAACTTTGGCCAGAACTCACTCGCCAAGTGGAGAATTAACCCAAGAAGATTCTCTCCTCCGTGGCCAGTCTTCACAGGGACTCACTCCCACCCCCGCTCCCGTGACAGGTTATTCAAAGCCCACTGACAGCTTCCGGAGAGAGGCATTTTCTCAGAAGGTCGGATCCTCAGATCACTTGGAGAAACTATTCGAGATGGGTCAAGCGAGTACACCCTTCCCTGTTTATAAAGAAGAAGGCCATTCTCAGAGTTCACAGTTTTCCTCAGAGCAAAAAATATCTCCTCTGCTGCCTGAACATGTGACAACACTCCCCACGACAGGGACGGTTGCCTCTCGGCGGATCACCTCTGCCCCTCCAAAGCCTGCATCGCCCCCCACCGCCAGTGCTCCCGGGATACCTTCTGTGACTTCTGAACCAGAGATGGCCACCTCAGCTCCAGCCCTAGCCTCAGGCAAGTCTCAGCCCCCCACAGCCCTCCTGTCTACCATTTTGACCCGGGCTGCGGTTAAACCCAAAGCTAGCCTAGCTACAGTAGCTGTTTCAAACACCGTCCCTGAGGCACCCATGGACTGGAAAAGCCCCCCAGAAACGGCACCCTTTCGAGAAATTTCCAACCTCACTTTGAACACAGAGGATGCCCATAATAACCCTGCTACACTTTCTTTGTCGACAGTGGATTCGTCCACTGCTACGCCGCTTTCGTCAAATGTGGATTCTTCTCTGAATAAAACTGCTTCCCAGGAAAATGGGAAGGCCAGACCCGGTGGTTCCTCCCTGAACAGTGTTCCAGAAAGTCAAGACAGCCTTCCATTTGAAAAATGGCTCCTCATCGGAACCCTGCTCTTTGGGGTTCTGTTCCTAGCCATAGGCCTTGCCCTCTTGGGCAGAATGTTCTCGGAATCCCTGCACAGGAGACGTTATTCGAGACTGGATTATTTGATCAATGGGATCTATGTTGACATCTAAGGAGGAAACTAGATGTCTCTTCATTCATGTAGTTACTAGCAGCCCAGACTCAGTGACTTCCTGCTGACTCGCAGATCTTAGCAGGATGTCTGAAGCATCTTGAAGATAGGCAGATGCCCCCTACCACTTTCTTTTTACTTGGTTTTTGAAGACAAGGGGAGAAAGGACACAAATTAGGTAATTTGAGTGATCTATCTCTAAAATATTTGCTGAAAACAAAGCTCTACCTAAAGTAATAAAGTATAATTGGCATATAAATTCAAAAATGACTGGCTTTTTGCAAGGAAAAGTGGTTAGGACTTTTAGGCTCCAGTTCATTAACATTTCTGGTTCCAGATAAAGTCAACTGTTTATGATATTAATTCTAATGGATTTACTTTCTTTTTTATATGAATTCCAATAAAAGTTATTCCAGATGTATGTCCTTCCAATTAAATATTTGAATAAATCTTTTGTTACTCAGTAATGTTCTTGTAAGTGACACATCCAGCTGGATAACTTTCAATTTATTCCCACCAACAAAATGATTAAATGATGAAAGTATGTGTTCTAAGTTAAAATGACAACCCCCCCCTTCCCCATCAGTGAGCAAAGAGGTTCCTTTGGGAGAACTCTAGCAGAAGATTAGCCTACGTGGAGACAGTGATAAGTTAGTTCTGATAAATAGCCAAATCTACTTCGGGTCCATTCTAGTTAACTATCCTACCCCCGCCCCCCCCCCCAAAGTAATACAGGAATTTTCTAAACTTCACCAGGTTTAAAACATAACAATGATATTTATAAATCCTTATCTAAATTTCACCAAGTCAATTTGGGCTTTATTTGGAATAACATTGAAAATAACATAACACTTAACATTATTGTTAAATGATTAGTATGCTGTAATTTTTATGTGCATTTTAAACATTTATTTATTTTTAATTCCAATAAAGTTAACGCATAGTGTCATATTAGTTTCTGGTGTACAATAAATATGCTGTAATTTTTACTGATTAGTTATTGAAATGTCTGAGGAATGGCATTTAGTAAAAAGGGTTTGCCAGATGAGTTACAGTGAGGTCCCGAAGAATCCAGAAAACTGCCTGGGTCAGTTTGACTCCTCAGTCTCTGGACTTCAGTTTGCTCATCTGCAAAACAAGAGGTGGTCCCTTCCTGGAGTCCAGGGTTTTTAGATGCAAATGGAATTCAGGAGGGAACTTAACACAGTGAGCCCTAGAGGGCAGTAGCTGGTTAATAAGTATAGCAATGAAGACAAACGTAGGAAATGACAGAAACAGGCTTTTCTCCTGTTTCCTCCTTACCACCTCCTTCTCCCCTCTCCAGGACACACACACACACACACACACACACACACACACACACCAGTTTACACTAAGCTCATAAAACTCATTAAGAGGAAAGCTGGTCTAGTGAAAATTCTACTTTTCATATATTTTCCAACTTAACAGCTTGACACAAATCTCCGAGGGGTTTACATAAGCTTTAAGTAGGCTGAATAAATAAAACCTTGAATCAATTTAATTTAACAAGTATTTATTGAATATCCGCATGTAGGCCAGAATCAGATTAGTAACTAAGTGCCTTGGAATTTTAAAATTTCTCCTCTCTTTGTTAACAGAATTGGTTAGTGGGAATTAGGCTTTCTGTGGGTGTTTAGAAGAGTTTTCTTCTAGTTCTTTCGTAGCTCTCTGTCCACCTTACTGCATTGCATTCTTTCTGGCGAAGGAGAGACTTGAGCAGGAGCCCAGATGGGGGATGCTTTGGGCCCGGACTCTGGCAGTGAGTGTGGGGATGTGGATTGCTGGGAAACAGCTGGATTTAAGACATGCTTCTAAGGGGGAAAGAGTAGCTCTTCTCACACAGCTCTCCCTGCTTATTACCTCCTGCTGCAAGGGTCAGTGAAGGGGCGGGGGGAGTCTGCCTATGCTTTCTTGTAAGTAACTTTAACAGTGACTAGCCTGGCCAACCTGTTAGACAAGGTGAACTGAATTATGAGCCGTTTCCTTTGGTTTGTGGGAAGGGAAGGTGACAGCCTAGAAGAAGCAAGAATATTAGGAAGGAGCCCCTGCTCAAAAATATCCTCTTCGTATTTTACCAACGGGACACTTACCTGGGTTAAAAAGCTATTCCTAAAACAGCTGATGACCTCTGAAGGGCGAAGCCTATGGCTGACTCACTCTGAATAAATACTTCTACATTCTTGTTTCTCAATTACCCCTGGCCTGAGGGAGGCATCCTTGAAACTGCTTCTCAGACTGTGGTAGGCACTACAGGCTATCCCTGCAACAGCCAGCCCCAATCCCACTTTTGCCTTGTTTGTTGTAGGTTAGAAGTGTCAGTTTTTCCCAGCCCCTCTTGAAGTTAGGGATGGGCCTGTGGCCTAGTTCTAGCTGAAAGGAAACCTGCTGGGGGCTTCCTTGATAAGGGAGGGCGACACAAAGAAAAAAGTCCCTTTTCCTTCCAATCCTTCTTTCCTGCTTGGAATGCTGGTCGTTTAAGGGCTTGATAACAGGCGCCTGGGTGGCTCAGTCAGTTAGGCGACTGCCTTCGGCTCAGGTCATGATCCTGGAGTCCCGGGATCGAGTCCTGCATCGGGCTCCCTGCTCAGCGGGGAGTCTGCTTCTCCCTCTGACCCTCCTCCCTCTCGTGCTCTCTGTCTCTCATTCTCTCTCTCGCAAATAAATAAACAAAATCTTAAAAAAAAAAAAAAAGGGCTTGATAACTTGGAACAACTGCAGCCTTTTTGCCACCATGAGGGGAGAAATCACTAACAAGCTGAGCATGGCAAAGTGGGATACGGGGAGAGTCTGGTCCACAATAACTTGGTTATCAAGCAACAGCACCAGCTCTGGAACTGCCCACTTTAAGTCTTGTTCCGTGATAAGTTTCTAACATTTGTACCATTTTTAGTTGAGTATTCCATTACTTATTAATAATGGTAGCAAATACTTATAAGGTACTTGACAGTGTGCCAGGCACACTTTTACATTTACGAACTCATTTACGAACTCATTCCTATTAACAGCCTCATGAAGAACTTCTTATTTTGCAAGTGAGGAAACTGAAGCACAAGAGGTTTAAGTGTCTTGCTTAGCGTCACCTCCCCAGGTAATCTGGCTCCAGCATTCCCACTCTACACATTCTTTTAACTGGAAATCATGCACAGGGTAACCAAAAAAGAGGTTTGCAATAGATGACACATATTCTAGATAAAAGCTTTTAAATGGTGTTGAACCAAACCATTCAAATCTCTTTAAAGAGATTGTTTTTTAAAGATTTATTTATTTATTTTGAGGCGGGGGGGGCGGGTAGAGAGAGAGTGTGCTCGCGCGCACACGAGTGGGGCAGGGGCAGAGGGAAAGACTCCCAAGCCCCGCTCAGGACTTGATCCCACAATCCGTGAGATCGTGACCTGAGCTGAAACCAAGAGTTGGATGCTTAACCGACTGAGCCACGAAGGGACCCCTTAAAGAGCTTTTAAGTGATGTTTTACCTTGAGCCCAGAGCCTGGCAGTTAAGATCGGCAGTCTCGTTCCGGGGTAGGCTTCATGCCCTTTGTCAGCCGCTCACATCCGGTCTTCTTGTTCGGGCACTGACCACCTGTGCCGATGTCAATGGCGATTCTTCAGTCAGGAGCACACTGGGGTCGAGATCCCATCCTATTCTGTGTTAACCTCGGTCACCAGTACCACCAGCCACCCAGTCTCCCTTGTATTGAGCAACTTCAAAGTCACTCTCTATTTCTGCCTCCCCCTCAGCCTCCACATCCAGGGTTTACCACATATTATCTCTTCTCTTTCAGAAATGCTTCTCAAAGTCAGCTCTTCCTGCTGCTACCTCCTATTTGGTCTCCTAACCTGTTTTTCCTCACTCCCAAGTTACACACTACCTTCACACAACCTCCCGTTAGCTTAAAAGCACAACACACACGAACACACGTGGGGCGCCTGGCTGGCTGGCTGAGTCGATGGAACAGGTGACTCTTGACCTCAAGGTTGTAAGTTCAAGCCCCATGTTGGGTGTAGAGATTACTTAAAAATAAAACCTTGGGGGGCGCCTGGGTGGCTCAGATGGTTAAGCGTCTGCTTTCGGCTCAGGTCATGATCCCGGGGTCCTGGGATCGAGTCCCCCATCGGGCTCCCTGCTCAGTGCAGAGCCTGCTTCTCCTTCTCCCTCTGCCATTCCTTCTGCTTGTGCTCTTCTATCTCTCTGTCAAATAAATAAATAAAATCTTTAAAAAAAAAAAAAAAAAAAAAAAAAAAACCTTGGGGCGCCTGGGTGGCTCAGTTGGTTAAGCATCCGATTCTTGATTTCGGCTCAGGTCATGATCTCAGGGTGGTGGATCAAGCCCCGCGTCAGGCCCTGCACTGGGCGTGGAGCCTGCTTAAGATTCTCTCTCTCCTTCTCCCTCTGCCCCTCCCCCCCACTCGCTCATGCACACTCTAAATAAACAAATAAATAAAATCTTTTGAAAAATAAAAATAAGTTAGAAGCATAACACACACAATATATCACACACTACACCCGTGTGGCCCCCTGTTGACTACAGGGGTGACTCCCCACTGAGTGTGGCACAACAAGGCTCCCCATGCTCTAGCCCCAAACTATCTGTCCATCTACCTTCCCTCCCCCAAAATCTGGGCTGCAGCTACACATCTCTCTTTGCTGTTTCTCGAAGGTGCTAGGTACTTTCATGAGCCATGCTGTTCCCTCTGTTCATAAATACCCTTCTCTTTTTTTCACCTGGCAAATTTCCACTCATCTCTCAAGACTCAGCTCAAACATCGCCTCCACCACAGTCTTCCCAGAGTCTCCCAGGAGAGTATTCTTCCTCCCAGATTCCTGGCATGGCTGTTGATTTATACTGTTAGCAAGACACTCACATATAACATATCAGTTTATATATTCCACCACTGCACTGATATGTTAGAGAACAATGTTATTCTGAGTCCCCCATTCTTAATAATGGGCCTGACACAGAGTAGACACACGATAAATGATCATGTGTGAACTTTAAAGCCTGTTCGTTACAGTTCATTCCTTTCAGCGGTGGACGGTAACACGATCAGCTGTACATGGAACAGCTTCTTTATCATGGAGACAAAACCCAGTCCAGACCCCACTTATGTGCCTTTTTTGGGAGAATGGGATACAATCCAGGTATACAGCATTGAAGTGTATACTTTTATTTTAACCAAGACCATGTGCTGAGGATAAGCATTTTGGTTTTATTTCTCTCTTTAGAGCCAAGGTAGTACACTTTACTCAGCCTGTAGAGAGGGTGAGCTGACAGAATTTGTTTTTGTTTGTGCTCTTATATTTTTGGTTAATTTATTTTTTAAATTATTTTTTTAAGATTTTATTTATTTGTCAGAGAGAGAGAGAGCACAAGCAGGGGGAAGAGGGAGAAGCAGGCTTTCTGCAGAGCAGGGAGCCGGATGAGGGACTCGATCCCAGGACCCTGGGATCATGACCTGAGCTGAAGGCAGATGCTTAACCGAATGAGCCATTCAGGTGTCTCTATTTTCGGTTAATTCTTTTAAAGGTAACTTTTAGAATACCTCTACAGCCACAATCAGGCTCAGAATCTAAGCTATCCGTCCCCAAATTATGATGTTGCTTAGCAAAAGAGTCAAAACTGAAACCAAGAGCTCTAGCCTTCAGATTCAATATTCTCTCCACCACACTGTACTACTTCAGCAGGAATGTGTCCCTATAGAAATAATGCATCTAGTATCACACTCACCCAGGGGGGAGTTAGGAAGGGGGGAGGTCCAATTTTTTAAAAAAATATTTTGTTTTTATGTAATCTCTATACCCAACATAGGACTCAAACTTACAGCCCTGGGATCAAGAGTTGCACGCTCTACGGACTGAGCCAGCCAGATGCCCCAAGGTGGGGGGGGCGGGGAGGGTGCCCATTTGAGTTTGAATCTCATTGTACATTA